CATTTAAATTTAAATGCCGGCCGCGCTGAGCCGGCAAACAGCTAATCAGCTGTTTGTCAGCTCGCCGCGTTAGTCTGGACGCTCCCCTGCCGACATGAAAGCCCTTTATCGACCTCCCCGGTAAACCTCATCCTACGAGGCATAACGGGGAGGTCGATAAAGGGCTTTCAGGTCAGCGCGGGAGCGTCCAGACTAGCGCGCTGAGCCAACAAACAGCTGATCAGCTGTTTGTCGGCTCAGCACGGCAGCCATGTAAATTTAAATGAAGTCGCGATTATTTAAATCGCAGCTTCATTTCCCTTTGCCGATCAGCCTAATCTACATGGCTCCATCAATGGAGTCATGTAATTTAGACACGCCCTTAGAGATCAACAAAGGTAGAGGATCATGAGCTTTTGTAGGTAAAACCCACTTAATCACATGAGTTTTACCCACAAAAGCTTGTGATTCTAAATGTTTTTGTTAGTCTTTTAAGTGCCACAGGACAACTTGTGGTTTTTAAAGTTACAGACTAACACAGCAACCCCTCTGAGACTTTTTAACATGGCACCACAATCTCCTGCATATGCAGATGAAAGTTTAAAAAAAGGCTTCCAGTTACCCAGCAGTGTGAGTGAAGCCTTCACTAACATTCCCCAAGCTGCATCTCCAGGAAGTACAGCATTTGAGGGCAGTTCCTCTTGGAGACAGGAGTATGTTGTTACATAGCATCCCCTTTCCTCTTCAAGAGATGCAAGTGGCTGTATTTGCTTCTTCAAGACAGGCCCAACAAGGAATATAACAGAACACCACCAGCCATCACCTACAGCCCCCAACTTAAACCCCTCCAGTGCATCATTAACAATCTACAACCTATCCTGGACAATGACCCCTCACTCTCACAGGCCTTGGGAGACAGGCCAATCCTTGCCTACAGACAACCCCCTAACTTGAAACAGATTCTTTCCAGTAACCACACATCACAGCTCAAACATACTCACACAGGAACCTACCCCTGCAATAAAACCTGTTGCCAACTCTGTCCACACCTGTATACAAGCAACACCCTCACAGGACCTAACCACATAAGCCACGACATTAGAAGCCCATCCACCTGCACATCCTCTAATGTGAGCTGTGCCATCAAGTGTCAGCAATGCCCCTCTGCCATGGATATTGGCCAAACCGGACAGTTTCCATGACAAAGGTTAAATGGACACAAGTTGGATATCAGAAATTGTAATACACAAAATCCTGTAGGAGTACATTTTATCCTACCTGGGCACTCATTACTGGACTTAAAAGTAGCCATTCTTCTACAAAGGAATTTCAGAGACCAACTATAGAGAGAAACTGCGGAACTGGTCTTTATATGCAAATTTGACACCATCTCTCATGGCTTGAACAAAGATGTGAATTGGATGGGCCATTATATTCAACACCCTAATGGCATCAAAAGTTAAATACAGGACACCTGCAGCCCTCTCAATTAGCCTCATTTAGCGCCAGCACTACAACTGTCAGGCATATTTTTTTTTATCCCTTATTTTTCAATTTTTCCTGGGAGGTTTCCCCCTTTTTTTTCCCCCCACTCTGATCTGAAGAAGTGGGTTTTGTCGACAAAAGCACATGATGTTGTTATGCATATTTTTGTTAGTGTCTAAGGTGCTACGGGACTACTCATTGGGGTGGTGTTTTTTGTGCTTACAGTGCAGGAGCGCCTTACCAAGCAAATTGCAGTAGCCATCACAGAAGCCTTGCAGCCAACTGGAGTTGGGGTGGTTATTGAAGCGACGTAAGTGACCATATTCACTACTGGTGCTGTATATAAGCCCGGCAAAGAGGGCACCCATTATGGGTGGCGGGTGAAGGCCTCGTTGGGGAAGGCAAGCCCTAGCCCCACTCCTCCCACCTGCGGCCCTGCCTCTTCAGCAACTTTTCTCCTCCCGCCCCCTGTGGAGCCAAGTCCTGCACAACCCCAGCCCGATTCATCCTGGCCACATGAAGGGCCGGGGGCTGCCACACCACAGCTTCAGCCTTCCCCGGTGGCCAGGGAGTGTAGGCATTTTTGGGAAGACAGTGCCTTTCCTTGCCTACATTACCCGCTCCGCTGTGGCAGCCAGCAAGCTACCGAAATGTGTTCCTCATTCATTGCCTCTCACTCCTGCAGCCAACATATCATGCCCCGTGCATACAGTGGAGCCACATGACAACTTGGGTAACATGCTTGAATGAGGGGCATTCTCCACCAGCTCTACGAAGTGTTTGGCTAGTCAACATGCCGTGCTAGTGGATTGGAGACACTGCAGCAGGGGAGTCTTGTTACCCTACCTCGTGGTGGCAGCTAATCGCTGAGCCAGAAATTCAAATTAGATCCTTAAACACGAATCCATTGCAATGACCCATTTTCTGTTACCATTATGACTGCCAGCAGCAGAAGTTGGCACAATCAAGAAACACGTATTTTGGTGTGATCGGCACAGCATGAAGGCACAGCACTTTAAGCAGGGGTTTCAAAGGCGCCTTAGGAATTAGGAACTTGCATCCCACTGACAGGGCACGGGTTTGGGAAATCTGGTTCCTTTGAAAATTCCAGCCTGGGGACTTTTCCCAGACTCAGCTGTTTTACGTGGGTCATCTGAAATGCTTGTGGTTTAAAACTAGCACTGTAAAATGATCACCTCCTGCTTCCCCTAGCCATACTTGCTGCTTTATAAAGCCTGCCTGATTTACGCTCCTCCCCTTGTTTTTCTTTCTTCTAGACACATGTGCATGGTAATGCGTGGCGTGCAGAAAATGAACAGTAAAACAGTCACAAGCACAATGTTGGGAGTATTCCGGGAGGATCCAAAGACTCGGGAAGAGTTCTTAACTCTCATCCGCAGCTGAAACCATGCCCTTCACCAAATGCACTCTACAGATCGTACTGTCCTGTGTCGCTATCTGTTCTTAACTGTTTGTACGTCTGATTTTTAACTAAGTCGTGAGTTATAATATGTGCAAGAATTGATGGTAAGTCAAAAATGTAACAGTGAGCATAGATATCCATAGGGCCTACCTGCCTCTTGTGTCAAAGGATAACCAATAGTATTTAAATATACTTGCACCATTTACACTACAATGTATTGCCACTGAGAAAAACAGCAGATAGGCAAAAGCAAAATGAGGCTCTTCATCCAAAATAGAACTTTATTTGGCAGGTTACGTCTAGCACAACATAGGAATTATTGAAAGGCTACAGATCTTTGCAAGGTAATATACGTGCCCCAGAAACTGTCTTACATCCCTTCTAGGGAGGCCCTGAATGATGATCACTGAAGCGTCTGGATTCATACTGTACCTTTTTAATTGCAAATCTTCTGATATGTCTGTTTCAGTCTTTGAACATGCCTGTCGGCCATTTTATGTGACAATCTGGTGACCCTTGTATTTTGTTAGTATTCACCTTCTCCCTTTTGTGGTGTTACAATGGCACATTGTCATCTGTCTGGTCTCAGCATGCAGGGAATTTAATTTCAACAGTTCAGGGGCGCAATTTTATCTGTCTTCAGGGATCTATGCACCTGCCCCTCTGCCTCAAAATGAGAATATTACACCATTTTAACTGAAGCACTCACATTTTTTTAAAGGAATCTTTATATAAATTACTGTTTGAGTTTTCAAAGCATTAATGAATCCAAACAGATTTTTAACCATTTTACTCTCTTTGCGTTGGCCTTTCTGGATTTTCCAGCTGTTCACTGGGCTAAATAAGTAAATTACACCCTTAGACTATTTAAGTAACGATTTTTCTTAGGAAAATTACAGATGGAAAATTAATCTGGAATAAAAGAGGGTGTGAATAATTTAAATTGAATGAACTGTTCTTCATTAACTCTGGGTGCATCTACACTGCACCTGTAACTCAAAATAAGGTATGCAAATTGAGTAGCTTATTTTGAGTGTATTTCAAAATAGCGCCAAATTTCAAAATAGAGCACTCTTCCGAAATGTCCCTTAATCCTTGGGGAACGAGGTTTATAGGGACATCGGAATAGCAAGCCCGTTATTTTGAAAGCTATTTTGAAATAATGGGCATCCTGTCAGGATGTGGAATAGCTATTTGGGGATACCAGAAGTATCCTGAAATAGTGCTGCTGTCTAGATGTACCCTCCATGTGTGGATGCTCTTATTTGAGAATAAAGGACGCCTTATTCCAAATTATTTTAATTCACTTTTCTGGCACTCCTTTATTCTGGAATAAGAGCATCCACACATGGAGTTAATGTAAGGGCTTGTCTAGCTCAGATTATTTCGAGCTTGTAATCTATTCCAACTCAATGGATCAAAGCCGGCGGGACTGAGTGGACTGCTGAGCTTTGCTCACTGGATATATCCATTCTGATGGAACATAATTTCATGTCAGTGTAGCCCTGTAAATACATTGGTATGAACTGTTCAGCAGTTGCTCTTCATTCACGAGGGCAGCTAAACAAGATATTTCCAGGAAGACCAAAATGAGTTACACATTTATTCTGAAACCTCTGCAGGCAGTTAGCAAGACTTGATTTGATGTACTCCGTTACTGGGAAAACATAATGAGTGTTTTGTAACTCTTAATTGGGACAAGATGGTGCATAAGTCAAAAATTCCCCCCTTTCTTCTGAAAACAAGGATGCAACAAATCCTGTGCAGACATTCACAGGGCCAGAGTCCAAAACATACAGTGCTAGGTCTCTCTGGCTGCGACTGTAAAGCTCTCTACATCCTAACCTAAAAGGTGAGCTTTGAGCTTGAGTCAGCACATCTGGGCTTATTCATGCAGTGATTGTTAGTGCTCCCTTTCATCCCATGCCGAAAGAAAACGAAAAGGGTGCTAGTCCAGTCTGGGTTCCCCTCAGGCCGGTAGCTCTACAACTCGGTCAGTGTGATCTTCAAATGCTGCCATTCCCTAACTGCTACACTTTGCTTGTCAGAAATGTAAGGCTAGCGTAAGCGAGTAAAGACACTAACTTAAAGATACCTACAGTATTAATAAAAAAAACCTGTACAATATTCTGGAAACACAAACCTCATTCCTACAGCCTGGGGCACTCCAGAAATGCCTTTCTGTAACGGCAGGCAAACTATTCTGTCCAGATAAACGTAAAAAACAAATAGTCTGGTAGCACTTTAAAGGCTAACAAAACATATAGATGGCATCGTGAGCTTTCGTGGGCACAACCCACTTCTTCAGATGACCTGAGTGTTGGCTATCCAGGACCAAAATAAATAGGGGAGAAGAAGAGGCAGTGGGCAAAAAATATCAAGGGGAAAACCGAGCTGGAATGCAATAGGAAAAACAGTCTATAAGTACCTAAGACTGGATAGTTAAAAAAGGCAGATAAAAACCATTAATTAGCAAACAACTAGTCTAGTAGTACTTAAAGACGCGTAGCACAGGAAAAATCCAGACTAACTCATTGGATTTCCCACGCTCCCCCAATACTACTGCCTCAACTTCATAGTGATTCTGGGAGCAGCATTGGGTTCAATATACAGTGAAAGCTTTATTATCCAGCACTCAGTTAATCAGAAAACTCTGTTAACTGCCATTGCCCCCAGCTACAGTACCGCTACCTCTTTAGGTGTGCACATTTGACTCCTGTCTGTCCAGCCAGCTGTTGTGGGGCTTCTGACAGCCAGCACTGCCGGCCCATGTCATCAGCAGATGATTCCTTCTCCCTCAGCCTGCCTGGAGCTGCCAGGAGCTGGATCTGCCAGTAGGGGGTGCGGGTAGAACAATAAGCTTTGTTATCCAGCACATTCAGTTAACCGGTACCCCCCATTCCGCATGAGAGCTGGATCACAAAACTTTCACTTTTTTTTTAAATATGCCAATTAAAAAGCCTTAAATCCCTCTTATCTGGAAGGCAGAGTAAGATTTGTTCCCTTGCCTAGCTCAGCCACTCTGGTCACAGGAAAATGTATTGGTGTGTGAAACTGTCATGTCACTAAGGGTGGGTCTAGACAACAGGGTTTTGTTGACATAAGTGGACTTTTTTTGACAAAACTATACCCGCGTCTACACTACCACTGAGTTCTGTCGACATAACGCCAACGGAACTCGGCAGTTTTGTCGATGGCGGTAAACCTCATTCTATGAGGAATAACGCCTTTTGTCGACAGAGGTCTGTCGACAGAAGGCGTTATTGCATCTACACTGTCCTTTGTGTCTACACTCTCATGTCGACAAAGCGGCTTGCTTTGGCGACAGAACTAGATGTAGTCTAGATGCTCTTTGTCGACAGTATCTGTCAACAAAGCCTCTGTTGACAAAAGCCTGTAGTCCTTTGGGGAGGGGTATTGCTAAACTGCCGGGAAACCTGTCTGCATGTACTGTGCCTAGGCTAAGGGGACATACCAGTATATCTCCCGGGAGAGCCCGTATAGGACAGACTAAACCTTTTGCTGCTAGAGTTAACAGACAAGGTTGTGCTTTTAACTACTTATCTCTGTTCAGGATAAAGTCCATGTTACACCACCGTGCTTCATTATTTACGTCACCATGAACTGTAGTCCTGGAAACATACCTCTCTGTACGTGTGGCCTTGGATTTTGTTCTGGTTTTTGTAAGATTCGGTGCATTTTTTTGACCCCTTTGTGTTTGACTCCAATGAGCTTTAACTACATCCGGTGTATGTATATACACGACACAGTATGCTACTGTACCCATAAAAGTCTATTGAGTTCAAAAACTTTACAGTATTATCCTTTGGCATATATTAGCATGGCTTGCAGCTGTGTGAGCCTGCACCAGCCAGCTGGTACTCAGAGCAGCAGCATAAATCTGAGGAAGAGACAGAGTATGCTCCTGCTCTAGCAGGATGCTGTAGTGGGGCAGAGAAGCTGTTTCCATCTGGCTCAAGCCTTGCTTTCTTTTCTCACCACCACCTCTATCACCACTGCCTTTGCAGCCTGTTCAGGTTTCGAACCTCTGGCCTCCTGCTTTGTCAGGACACGGGCCAAGCCCCCTTCATGGTCTTCCTTCCTCACACTTCTGAGGGAAGTCCTGAAAGGCCCAATGGGATCTCTCCCCTGCTGAATGCTCTGCCTTTTCCCTTCCTCACAGCCCAGGAGCCTGGATCTCAGGCTGTCTTAACTTCCCTCAGTTTAATTCAAAGGGCCTGATGGCTCAAATCGCGTCCCTCCTACCAGCTCTCAATTGGACTACGTTTTCTGAGGTGGTGGAGGAATACGGAGGTAAAAAGCAGCCCTATCACTCTTGTGTTAATAACTGAAAGGCCTGATGTGCACAAGTGTAGCAGAAGCCCCCTATGACTCTTTCCGCTGCTTTTGGACACGTCCCACACCAAGACTGAAATTTTGACCTGGTAGACCCGATGTTCCCTCCCTGAAGAGTCTGTTGCAATGTGAAGTGCAGGTGGCCCTGGCGTGACCACAGCCCAGGCGCTCTCTCCTAGGTTGGCATCTGCTCTGGCATAGATTCTAGCACAAAAGCAGGAGTGGATGGCCTCAGGTGAACTGCAGCAAAGGAGGCCAGAGTCTGGTCATGCCCACCCATCCATTTTCCTTTTCCCACCACAGAGCCGGTGCCACTGGAAGGCCAGTGGTGGGATGGCCACAGCTGAGTATTCAGGGCAGCTGTTGTGGCATATTAAATTAAACCCTCCCTCGCATCGAAAGCGGATACCAGTACATCCCCAGAGACATCCCTGCCCCCGGCGGCCTGTCCCTACCTGCGTCATTCTGCACACAGGCCCCTTCCCCCACTGCATCCTCCTGCATAGCTAGCTGCCTCCTCTCCCTTCCCCCGGACAAAGCCACGTCTGGAGCTAAGTCCAGGGGACGGGGCTCCACAGTGAACATCGGTGCCCATCCCGGCCCATAGCCTTGGAGAGGGAGGTTCAGCTAATAGCTCAGGGCTGCCTGGGAGCATACACCCAGTGGAGCCTGCCTCCTTGGTGTGGTGCCCGGCTCCAGAGTTGGTATGACAGGAAGGAAACCAGACGGGGGAGGTTACTAGAGACAGTCCTGTGCTCCGAGGGCCTAGCTCGCCTTTGTTTACACGGAGTTCCCTTTGCAGTGTTTCACATTCAGGCCTTGAGGCTGCCAGAGCAGTGCCAAGGAGCCTTACTAGAAATGACAGCCGGGCCCTGGCTTTTTAGTAGCCAAATTCTATCCGGGGAGAGAGGCGGTGGGGGAGGGAAACACAGATGGGGAGTGGAACCAGTGGGGAGGGTGAGAAAATGCGGCAAATACTAAAAGCAGGAAGGGAAAAAAGAAACAAAACCGAAAAAGGGAAAATTCCCACCTGGTGGTGAGCAAACCTTCACTTCTGTGCCTACCTTTTTATTGCGCTTCCCCGTCAGAAAGCAACTAGGTGCAAGGGAAGAGAGCCAATCCTGGCGGGGGCGGGGTAGGAGCAAA